ATTCTAACAAGACATACAATAAACATAGACAGGATTTTTCCTCCGTTCTTGTTACAAACAATTTATTTAAGGGTACAGGTATACTATATATTCAATGCTCTTTATTTCAAACAAGGTGTATGGGTAAATCAAGGACATTACGGGTAAGATGTGTGTGTAAGTCAATGGCATAAAATTATATTACGGGTATAGATATCAGTTGGGTTTTTTAATTAGTGAGGAGTGGTGTACAAACTACAGTAACCCCTCTTTCCTCCTTCTGGCTATTCTAGCTGATGACAGATGACCTCTGCTTGGTTGCTTTAAGTTATCACCCATTGGCTTTGTAAAATAAGCTCTCATATAAAAAACCATTACAGATCTTTAAGTCTCTCTTTTGTAGAGGAATTAAGTATTTTGCTTTATTGATACTTGGAAGTTGCTCAGTGATAGTAGCTACTTATTGCTACTGCTTTTAGTGCCCATGTCCACTCCTACCTAAATCATTGGGGTGACTTATTTATAGTTTAGATGCCAGTTCAAAGTAAGCCATATGTTATTTATGAAGACCCTGGTACATTAACTCTGTTCTTTCACACACCCAATTTCAAATTCTAAATGTTCTTTGCACATCATTGAGGATTTAAGCTAACAGAGTGAGTGAAAATGGACTCCTTTGGTTAATCGACCCCAATGTGTCACTGCAGTGCTTTACCTATCCACAGAAATCAACTTGAAAGTATACTAGCATACTATGATAGCATGTTATACATTGGAATGCTTCTAGTCTCACTTCAGTCTATTTCCATTCAAAAAAAGGGGCCAGTCTTTGTCAGAACTTTTAAAATCATGAAAACAGATTCCTAGCACATAATATAAAAGAAGAGCTATCTTTGTCTGTATCTCTGAGCTAACGTTGGAAGTCCTTATGGTACGCTATGCTTAGTCAATGTTGGACTTTAAGGTAGGCACCTTGCTGGAGGGCATACTGCTGCATCATCACCAACCTAACTCACAAGCTTGTTGTATGAATTCTACAAAATTAACCATTTGATCCGAACTGGTCACCTTTGACAACAAGTAACATTTTTGTTGTTTCCTGCAGAACATCAAATGTCAACGAGAAAGTAAAGACGAATAGCTAATTCAGGTGATAACACACCAAAACAGAAGAAATGAACAACTTGACATATCAACATTTTAGCATTATACTCAGTCTTCATTTGATTGCTTTGTTTTCAAGCCAAGAATATATACACATTAGGTATTTAATCTCTGTTGCCAACTAGGATTCCTATTTAATATTTTTTTTCTTCCAGAAGACAAGTAATTGCAGTCACTATAACTAGCTTGAAAAGTTCAATCACATCAGCGGTGTAGTAAACATAATGAGAAGAGATTTTACATTTTTCACACAGCTTAATAATAGTCTTTGTTATACCCAGAGCCAGCTGTTATAGAAATTGAATGTACACATAGTACGTTCAAACCCCCTGCCTTTGCTAACAAACTTCAGATCAGTAGCTTTGTTCCAGCGACACTCAGAAACCCATTGAGCTTACTATTTTCTGTTGCCATTTAAATATGGATAATTACACTTTAGTTCTTTCTCTACAGGGCCTTAAAAAAAAGAAGAAAACTTTGAGGAAGTTGTGATGAAGATATCATTATGGTATTACAGTGAGGTAGAAAAAAGATTGCACAACGCAATTGTCATTTGAGTGTTTTGGGCCTCTTACTAATAAAAGAGACTTACATTTTAGGCTGCTCTTCATGAGCAGGTAATAAATATATTCCAATAAAGCTGCTCGAGTAACAAAAGTCAATAATACTGTTTTTTATAAGTTGATATAGGATAAGTGTAAACAGCAGAAGGATGCTTTTGGGTGGCAAGTTTTATTTCTAAATATGTAAACACACACATAAGCAAACATACATGTGCATTTAAAAAAGCCATATTGCACAAAGCTCAACATACATAATTGATATGAGCGTTTGCTTATTTGAGATCCTCTTTACATTAAGCTCTTGCACGATCTAAGAACTATTCTATAACATTAGTGTCATATCCCTTTTACACTGAGCATATAGATGTTATAACTTTATCCCCATATGACCCGCACAGGACTTACACCCAACACCATACTAATCATTTCGCTCAGTATTCGTTACCATCTGTTACTTGTTGAATTCAAAATAATTTTTTTATTTTTTTTTCTATTTCATTAAAATAAAATGATTTGATAACATTTTATCAAAAGCAATATCAATGCTATATAAATGCACTGATAGCGTATCTTGTGCTCAATGCAATATTTATATTTTTAGAACAAGAAGAAGTAACTCTAGACTTAGGACAACCTTAACCTTTACTTGTGGTTAGTCCAAACATTTTCACTGGTCACCAAAGTAATCTGTTTACGTTGAATATATATGGTGACCGAACTGACCCACAAACCTAGAAAGGACCTACTTGTACCATTGATTTCCAAACCATTATTTGCACACTCATTAAAAACCCAGCAAACTTCTCGAGCGTCCTGTGAGTACTCCTTCACTGTTGTGCAAAGGCAAGGAATCAATAATTGCGCACCAGATAACAGACAGTAAATGCCTTCTTTACAGGTACGACTCAAAGACTGTTCTGTCACTAAAGACTGGGCTGTCACTAAAAATCATCCTTTTTGAAAACTTCAATTAATGGAAGGTAAAGTTTTGTTCTATTTATTTCAAAAGTCTCCAAAAAGTGATAACTTCATTGACTGGATTAGAAAAAAATTAAGTGTTGATTGGCTATTTTCCAAGTGACCAGCAATGCTCCCATTAATTTGTATTTTCTCAAAGCAGTTAACCCTTATCATATCGACATAAGTCATCACACAATAACAAACAAATTAGCCTTTGGCTCTCAATTGGTTAAGATAAAATTACTGTACAGTGGTGTCTGTACCATTTTGCAGGGAAGAAAGAAAACCGCTGTTTTGCTTAATGATGACACACTTGTATTTGGATGTATCCAAAATTTACATAAGATAACGAAAGCACCTCGATATGGAAATGAGACAGCGCACGTGAGATCATAAAATATTTATACTTTTTTTTTTTCTTTCCTAGTTACACCTGCCCTTTTGTGCCATGTTATCTTTTGAGCATAAATTAAAATGCAGCAACACGTCTCAAATTAAATCGATCCAAGATGTATATGTGGAAAGACCCACAAAAGTCCCACATTTAATATTCAGCCAGTGGTGCCGTGCCAAAAATAATTAAAGAAAGGACAGACCTTCAGTGGTAACATAAAATGCTAGTGCCCATAAGGATTAAATCTTGACTCTGCCATGTGATTAAAAAATTCTGAATGCAATGTTGGGCTCGGAAACCCATATATATATATAGAAAAAGCCAAGCTGTTATTTGAATGTCAATTTTGAGTATCTGAAGCAATATAACCAGTATGGTGCCAGTGATAATTTTGAGTAATGATTTTTATATGGCTTCTGTGATAATATAAAAATGTGCTAGCCAACTTTTTATCCATATCTAACATACCTGGAGCTCAGCTTGATCTTGGAATCATTGAGTAGACTGATAACTAGGGACTACCACTAACTCCTTTAAAGACTGTATGCAGTCGCTAAAACATTTTGTTGCAACCCGGAGCCTCAACAGGTTTCAAACAAAAATGTTCCGACACTTCTTATATTTCCCTTTAATATCTTCAAGCCTTGGCATCCTCACCCGCACATAAACACATCTAATAGCTAGGCTATTGCTCCATTCTGCAAACCTGTTGGAATACAAGAATCACCAAGCATCCATGCAACATCTTTACATATGATATTTACTATCGTTCCCTATTCTATACCATGACCTTACAGTTTTTGCATTGCCCTTTACATATTTTTTTCATCATTAATTCCGATGCTTATCTGTTGCAGCGATACCAAGATTTGCATGGCGCTGCAGTGCTCTGCCACGGCAGTTTAACCCATTAGCTGCTGCAGGTATTCACAAAAGTGTTAATATATGTTATAATGGAAGGGGAGAATAGACACAGGGCTTGAGCAGTACCAGCTACCCTAAGTCTGATTGTGGGAATCTGTAATCTGTTTTATTGCACCATTTTCCAAGTGTCACCAGTGCGAGATGTTCTGTAGTACACAGGTCTCTAGATGTAGCAGCCAGAGTGGAGCACTAAGCTCTAGGCATATAATGCTATGTCTAGCCACCACTTCATATTTTAATTATGTCTCTAACCTGCCACGGAATAGCAGGGATAAGTTTTGGATTGCTGGGTTTTCTAGGCAGAGAGGGAGAAATAGGGAGAGAGAGAAGGAAAGCGCGAGAGAGCGAGAGAAACAGAGAGAAAGTACCTTCCACCTACAGCTAGAATCTGACAAGCAGCTAAGTCTCTACTGCAATCAAATTACAATATCTAAATATTCTACTTCGCTCTAACCGAGTGTAATGCAGTAGGTGTAAATCTTACAGGTCTCCCTAGGCACCCAAGCCCACCCCACCTGTTCCCCCTTTATAACAAAAAAAATAATAGAAAAAAAAGGATATCCCTTACAATAATCAGACACCAACCTCGAACCGATGCACATCACATCTCTGTCAATTTACATAGGAGGGTTGTGAATTATATTTATTCTCAGCACGCAAAAAAACTGCAAACCATTTCAGGGCATGAAGGCAAGCTGGCATCTGCTTGGAATGCTAAGAGTGATTTTACTCCAATAAAAGAAAAAACAATTGCAGGGGGGGTAGCTGTGGTAACAGGAGACCCTGTATCACTATTACACCAAACTCTGTGTGGTACCCAGGATGGGTAATCACCTGCATCCAGGGAAATGATGCGAGCAGCAACCTTTACTGCAGGGAGGCTCTGAATAATCCCGGGCAGTGCCAAGTCGCCTTTAGTCATTTATCAAGAGAACTCTCAGCGTGCCAGAGATTGGACGAGACCCCCAGAAAGTGCTACACAAACCGCAAGCAAAAAAAAGGTGATGGATACTTACTGTGTATGTGATCAGTTCATCTCTCCATCTGCTGCCACCAGTCAATTAATACAAAAAAAAATGGGATCGACTTCACAGTTAATAGTGCCAAGCTGGATCCTTGATAAGCCCCCCTCACTCTGCGAGGCTCCTGTGCCTTTTCATACTGATGCACTCTTTCTCTCAAGCTCTATGGGTCCATATGAAATAAGATGCAGGTCCTAGCTACCTCTGTGGATCCACACATCAGCAGAGCATCTCCAGACAGAGAGAGTGAGAGAGAGAGAGAGAGAGAGAGAGAGAGAGAAAGAGAGAGAGAGGGAGGAAAAAAAAAAGCACACACACACAAAAGAGGCAAGAGGGATATTCCCAGTAAATCCTTGAATTTTATCAGTGAGCTGCTCCAATGTGCCTGGCTGCTGAGCAAAACAGTGAAGGGTTTGAGAAAGTGATCTTACAAAGAGCCTCCCCTGTCAGCTCTTATTGGGCTGCTAGTCTTGGGAGGCTGGTCCGTGGCTTGAAAATTCATGGACGCATTTTTTTTTCCTCTTCTTCTTCTCCTCTCTCCCCTTCTTCTTTATTATCATTTCAAGTGAAGTGCCCAACTTTTCTTGTCATTGTTGATTCAATCATTGTCCTCTCCCGTCAGCGTGCGTGCAGCCATTAACCCCTAGGCTGCCGCCATCCAGGCAGGGCTTTTGTGGATTAGGCTGATCCCTTCGCTCGTAAATAATACCATGAATATTCTTTAATCTATTGACACGTATTGAACGAAAAGCCTGATCAAGGGTCGTTCAGCGTTTCATTATTTAAAGGGTCCTTTTTTTTAACCCTGTACTGCTGCTACCTTAAAAAAAATGCCTCTACTGAAGCGTCACAGATCAATAAAAAGAAGTGATGATGGATTGCAGTAATATTTGTGATGATCTGGCTTTAAATAGCAGCGATATTTGTGCGCTTATGATGATCGGAGGCAATTCGTTGTCGCACGCAGATATTTTCCAGCATGCAAAATATCTGTACGACCAAACAGAGATTGTTCCATTTTTTGCAAAGGGTTTCCTTTACCTTGCACTATATCGCCCTGAGGAAGGGTCCCTGTGTGGCCCCGAAACGTTGGTTTGAATGACTCATGCAATCCACGTTAAATAATAATCAACAAGAACCACGCATCCTGTGAATGCTGGTGATTCCTTTCATCCGTATTGCTACATTGTAAGGTCTGCCGGATTAGGAAGAAAATCGCATCACATCTTGCAATTAGTTATTTTGACTGTCAACGTTATTGGTGACAGATCTGCCTGTATATGGCCACAAGCAATCAGGTCTTTCTTAGATCAGCTGTGCTTTAACTACAAATCCCAACAGGTCTCTGCCTCTGGGAGTCATGCCCGTAACTGTCAGCCTTGCAATGCATTATGGGACTTGTAGTTCCACAACAGATGGAGGCTCAGAGTTGCCCACCCCTGTCATAGATAGATGTTTTTGTGAGAAACAAGGCTCGGCTCCTGCAGAACCTCTTTGACAGCACAGCTGTCAATCAAGCTGGTCATCTTTCATCAGAGGCAGAAATGTGATTAACAGCTGGAGCTCCCAAGAGGTGGTGCAGCAGCCAACCATTTTGCCGCGACCTTGTTGAATGATCTGACCTCTCATGTGACTGCAATCATTAAAAACCTATCAGCCTAGGAGACAAGAGAACCCTCCCGCTACCCCCGCCAATCTGTCACTGCTGGAAAAGACATGCTTAAAAGAAGACGATGGGGAAGGTGTGCTTTATTAACCCCTTATAAAGAAGACAAGTCAATACAACGACATTCATTGCCATCACACAGGCTGTGGCAGTAATAAAAAGGGTTAATTTCACCTCTCTACATCAACATAGCCCAAGATCCTCGTACGGTATTAGAGTTAATAGAACAAAAAGAAAAGTGTGGTAACCCATAGCAACCAATCTTTCATTGTTCTTTCTGACTGGTTGCTAGGTGTTAATATCCTTTCTATTGTCAAATGTATGCTTTATGGTTACTAACAAAGTAGATGGGTTTTGGAGCAAACTCGCACAGTTCTTCAAGGGAACCTGTATAGTAAATAAGCCACGTCTTGGTTCTTTGGGCCACCTACCTCCTGCATCCCTTTATTGTTTAGTGTGGTTCCCAGAGATGGACCAGTAGTGGAGGGAGGCAAAGCACTGACCTCCAAGATGAAGCTTGTACATGCATAGTAAAGTTCATTGGGTTTCAGGGATCCACAGGAGATCCATATGAAATATGGAACTGTATGCTAATAGCTGGAGATACCTGCTGCTATGTACAAGAGGGGAGCTACTAATCTAACAGTCGCAACAGGTTTGCTTTTTGATGTCATAGATGAATAATGAGTAAATGTTAAAAACCATCAAGATCCAGGTGGACTAAGCGGATATGACTCTCTTTAGGGTTCATATTGATAGGAATTCTGGTAAATAGCTGCATTTTTATTCGAATGCATGCCGGTGCATTCAAATAGGAAACACAGTGTTTGGGAAGAACAGGCTGTGTTTGACCTGCTTTGCCTGTGTTCTATCAAAGTTTGTTACTACGTTATAATGTGTGACCGGTCACGTGGTCACACATTTTACCATAATCCCGCCCAGTTTTTTCGGTGGTGGAATGTGTGACCATCAATAGGTCAAGCATTCAAACTCTTCCTCAGCTGTTCCAGGATAGATCGGCATCGCAGATCGTACGGTAGGAGGACCGATCTTCTATCCGACTTTGTGAGTGCGATCTTACATTCCCCAAAGTCGGATAGAAGTCACATTTCAGGACCAATCAGCTGTTCCAGGGCAGTTTGGTTCTCCTGCACATACATCTGCAATACCGATCTGCCCTGGAACACCTGAGAAAGCGCTGGAATTCTTGCCCTTTTGACAGTCACAAATTCCACCGCCGACAGAATGGGCGGGGTCACGTTAAAATGTGTGACCACGTGATCAGTCACACATTCCCATCTAGTCACAAACTTTGATAGAACACCAACAGTTTGAATGCACTGAGCCTCTGAACTACAATGTGTTCTGCACAATTGATGTCAATGGGATTTTGATGACCTGCTTTTAAGATGCGTTCCAAACACACATCAGACGCAGGAGAGCATGCCCGTCGGCATGAGCCCTAAAGGTTCTATGGCCATAGAGAACCTTTAAACTCGACACATGCCAGATGCAGAAGAGCAAAATCCGTTGGCATGAGCCCTAAAAGTTCTATGGCCATAGAGAACCTTTAAACTCGACAAGCGTGTATTTATGTGTACAATGTCTGGAAATTATTGGTTTTCCCAATCTGTCTGGATCCAACTGATGGGTGGTAGACTATAATGGCCCTACACTGCTCGATTTTCAACTGATTTACAGGAAATTGGAGCCATGGGCGGCCCCTTTGGCCCCAACCGACTTGACAAATTTTGATTGAAAATAGGAAGGAGCTAAATATATGTGCATGGTCTACTTAAGTATG